ACTATTTGATTATCAGCCCAGTGAGCCGGCACTGAACCCAATGTGAGCGAGCCCAGCCGCAAACACAAAACAAATGCCTCCCTTTTACACACCTAAAGCAAAGAAAACTTGTGAGGCACTCTGCTGTACCTTTGCTACAATGCTTTCTGCATCAGCGACGCGCTTAAACATCATTCAGTACAACCAAGTCGCTCCACTCTCTGAAGCCAGGCAGATAATCTCACCGTGTCACATACCTAGACTCCTGGTCTGCCTAAGCCCCTCTCTCAGCTTTAACTACATCTGGGGGTGGGGGGGATGAAAAGACCACAAGGTGATGAAGAAACCTCCCGGCTAAAACACAGGGGATTTAGCAAGTATGCTCGCTCTGTGTAATAACTCGCGGTTCCTCACCAGTAGCCTTTAATGGCCACCTGAGTGAAATGGTTTATTAATTCTGAAAAACATTATGCAGAAGGAAAAATGGCTTGAGGGCGGGGTTGGTGAGGGGAAGCAGGGGGGAGACTTTGAGATATTTGAACAATCTGAAACGTGGCTGAGAGTGCCCTCAACTAAGAGCCATAAGCCTATTGGAGAGCCTGCTATCTGCTGAGGCCAGCTTGCCACATACATACCTTTTACCTCATTACCTGCTCTGCACAGCCATTATTGAGGGAAATAGGGTGAACGCTAGATAAGCACAAAGAATTCTTGGGCTGAGCACAAACAGACGTCCTGCTTCCTCCAGATAAAAACGGAAGAGGCCCCTTCAACTTCCTGCTCTCAGCGAAGTGTGGAGCTGCCAACTGCCCCATGTTTAGGTCACTCTCTGGTTCCTGGTGCACATGGAGACACACCGGGGACACACCGGGGACACACCGGGGACACAGGAGTGCGCGATTGTGTGTTCATGCAGAAACATGACTCGACAGCAAGCTAAGACTGAATTTATATTTACGTTGATTGGTACTTTATAATATTTATAACTATATGCATCTCAATTAAACAGTTTATATGCACTATGATGTAGCAAAACCTTTTAGGTGTGTTGTGTTTCCAACACACCTTTGTTCTAACAAGCAACTGCACTCGTGAGGTATCCAGAATTAGCATATAATCACATACAATCATCAAATATAAAATTGTAAAGTCCCCTTAGAAGGATATGCAAGCGTTTAAAATACTTGCTTAACCATACTAATGCTTAACAATTTCCATGTCTCTTTTTCGCTATGGCAACATTTACAGTATAAACAATTTACTGTGTCTACTTGCTGCTACAGCTTTGACACAACACTTTCTCACTCCTGACCAAAATTTGTTGATACCCGATGCAAACTCTTTCCTCGATCCAGATGGATGTTGTTAATCAAAGAGTTTGAATGCCTAGATGATTATTTTTACACTTTCCTTTTCCATTTTTCCTCCAGTTGTTTGGTCAGGATCACGGTTCAGGTTAAAACACCCAATTATGACACACTTCACCAGACAAAGTTTTCTGATTTGCAACGAGCTTCTCTCCAAGCAACGACAGCAGTACAGCAAATTTGAGTCTCAAAGCATCTACTCCAGAGGTTTAGGGACTGAGTCAATCCTACTGGAGAATCTTGCACATTGAAAAATGATTTAAAAAGGGATATGCCTTAAACTGCTTCCCCAGCGACTAATACCCAAGAACAAAACAGAAAATGGAAGCGTGAACGGATGAAGGTTGAAGATGATGGGGAGGGTAGCTAAACCCTAGAAAACCCAAGAATGTGCAATACCGCTGGTCAATACTGCAATAAAGATTTGGCTTTTTAAAGATGGTGCATATTAGCTTTTCTCTTGCTTTTAACAGCTAAGTATAGGTCAATCAAGAATGTAAATAATCTGGTACGAACAAGGTTAAATGTTGCCGTGCCTGGCACATTTAAAGAGAATAACATTTTTCCTATTCTAATTAAGGGCAGCCTCATCTGAGGAGGTTATTGTGTAAATTCATATTGGAGTGTGGATGAAAGTACCATTTATCGCGCATCATCGCCGGACAAGATAAGAGCTGTTGTTTGTGCTTGCTTCTTCGCTCTCCAAAATGTCTCATCAGACACTTGTGATCTCATCATGCTTGTTTTGGCCTGCCACAGTTTCAGGCGTCCTCAGCGAGAGGAAGTAGTGGGCTTCACTGACCTCGTACGCTCATTTTTCTACCGAGCTTTGCTGCGTTTTGCTTTCACGGAGGAGCAAAGTTTTCCACCTCGGCTTTATATTTTAGCAGAGCTGTGTTGTGATCAAACTTCTAGCGGAAAAGCTGCCCTCAGCAGAGAACATGAAAACACGCCGGTTTGGACATTCAAGCGCAGACGTGGCCCGTACACCAACACGCACCTTCGCTGCTTTTAAACAGCTGATGAAAAATACACCTTTCAGAAAGTAAATTATTTCTGCCAGCTGAAAAGCAAATTTCATTTTCTCCTGTCTCTCGACAACAAAGATGCCGAACCCATTACAGGCCGGGGCCTCTGCATCACACACATTAAATGAAGGGTCCTCTAGCAATCGAAAAAAGCAATTTTCTCATTGAGCCAATAGATACTCCATTTAGTTCTGGGATCTCTACGGACCACTGCTGCTGTAGTGAGGCTGATACAGGGGAAAGCGAGTGTAGAGTGATGACCCAGCCTCATTTTCCCTGTGCCTCCGCTGCTCTGAACTCATCAATATACAGACGTGTACTGCAAACTGTATAAGGGCAGAACGAAGAAAGGTGCGATGAGAAAGGATGGGAACGAGATGAAGAAGGAAAAATAGATGCGAAGCAACAGACGGAGAGAGAAAGAGAAGATGGAAGGAGGTTATGGTGAGGCATAGTGAATCAGGAATGTAAACTCAGGGTCGGTGATCAGCCTCCCCACCCTGTCATTTGCATGCACATCAGCTGATATTAAAGAAAGAGAGAAAGAGTGAAACAGGAGGGGACGGAGAGAAATCAGAGGCACCCAACCATGTGGAACCGCAGACTGATTAATTTCAGGCCTTTAATGAGCGATGCACTGCCAGGCCAGGCGGCATCAAGTCAGTCACCCCATCTTCACAGCGGGAGCTGCCATACACTACAATTCACACTTCCCCATCTCTGCCAAGGACTGAGTGACACAGGAGCAGTGAACTCACCACACTTCCTCTCCCTCTTTCCATCTCGCCTTCTCTCTCCTATTAATGTGTTTTTGCTGTTCACTTCAGCGCCGGCGCATAAACGTGTGATTAAGAGCAACACATTATCAGAGGCACTATTAAAACGAGTGCACTGATCACCGGTGGCAAGTCTCACACCAGGTGTTCTCTGTCTGTAGGTGGAATAAATATCAGCCGGGCACGCCGGAGACTTGAGTCTACTCAAACATGTTCCCATCTAATTGCTGTCCTCCGGAGTCTGCATTGTTGCTGCTAACCTTTATTCCCCGTATAAATTACACTGTAGGTTTACAAAGCCCGTTGCTGACATTTGTACTTGTATTGGAAACATCGCTGAGCAAAAAAACAATCTCTATTTTCCAACACTCATGTGAATCAAGCTGAGGAGAGAAAGGCTTCAGGCGGAGTTTAGTCATCCGTGTTGGCTGCTGCTCCAAAAGCATCAATACTACTGTTTCTTTTCCCCCCTTCCTCCTCCTCCTCCTCCTCTTTCTTTCTGTCTTTTTTTTTTTTTGACAAGGCAAATGTTCATCCGCAACATGGTGAACAAACATGCCTCTGTTCCCAGTTTCTGTGCTTCTTCTCCAGCCACCAGCTCACATTCATCTGATTTGTAGGGGGGAGAAAATGATAATAAAGAAAATAAATAAGGTGGAACAAAGAGCAGGCAGCAGAAAGAGAGACGGAGAGAGAGAAATCTTCACATGAGGCAGCAGTATAGTGGAGCTCAGCTCATTTATCAAGACAGAAGCTGATTTGTCAGTCTGTCCAAGCTGCTGGGGCGTGATATGATTCTGCTTTCTCCTGACACACTGTACCAGCCTCGGGGAGACATGGGCCCGGCAGTGACTTTAACTTGAGGCGAGAGAGCCCAGCAGACCACGCTCACCTGGACACACCGGTGAGCGTGTTAATGGGTCCCTTGGAGCCAATCTCCTTGGGCAAAATCTGATTATAACCCGATTCCCAGCTGTTACACTCAGTGACAGATGTTTTGAGTTTCTCACTGCATACTGAGTGAGTTAGAACGTCAACTTTTCACTCTATCCAACTTATCAGTTTAAAAACAAAAACAGCCCAAGTTTACTAGGAAAAGCCACAAGTACGGGACTTTCCTAAGAGTGCCGGATTTGCCCTTTCAGTCTCTGAGTATTTCATGTCTGGTCCAGAGGAGCTCTGACAGACAGAAACATGGAGGAGGTGGTTTTGGATGATGCATCCCTCTGATTAACGCGAACTGACAGTGAACTCCTGCCCTACAACGAAGGTAGCGCCATGAGAGACATCCATTTGGTGGCTCCATACGTCTCTGCAGACAGCCTGCCCGTTTTTTAGCTGGACCCCCGTGGGAAGAAAGCCAGCTTGGAGACTGACAGACGTCGCTCTGGACTGCCCCTGCTGTCAGGTTTCTCACACTATAACCCACAATTAAATGAAAAGATTAAACTACTTTCAAAGAATGTAGATATGCATCGATACATTTTTTTTTCTGCATCTCTAAAAGACGAAAGAGAGATCTGACCCGTGGTTAAAGAGGTTTTAACAACCCAATAAACGACTTAAACAATTAACAAGCGCGCTCCTGCTCGTGTCACTTCTTGCGAGGCATTTCATTTCTGCTCCTTGTTTGATGTGAAAATTAAACTCTCCGCAACAAAGTAGCTTCTGCAGAAATCAAACAGTGCGCACACAACAACACCCCTCACACCACCACCGATTAGACAATTAGACACGCTGTTGAAAATAATGACTCAGTTCAACGAGGCAGTCACGAAATTCTCTTTTAAATCTTTTGCCTCGGTGCGTAACATTTGAGTTGGAGACACTTCTGAAGAGCAGTTTCTTACCTCAGTGCCGAAACCTCTGGCTGTGACACGCTGCTTTCGCTGCTACTCACAGCCTATTTCTGAGAGCTGCTACTACTGATTGCAACCTACGTATTCAGGTGAAACAAAACCAAAAAGAAAAGAAAAGAAAAAAAAGGAAAGGCGGAATCAGCTGGGATGTCCACTGGAGTGAAACGTGCCCAACGGCGTCCAACTGTGAAAAAAGATCCACCACTACGAGATCGGCGATCCCAATTTAGACCCGCACGCAGTGTTTGGGGGAAGATTGGTATGCAAACAGTTTTCTGAACTCACTGAAAGCTGAGCGGCTCATACAGCTGCCTGCTCTGCTCCGGAGGGCGGAGACTCCGGACCACATACACGCCTCGAGTTTACGCTCACTGTGTTGTTTGTGCGTGTGTGGCAAAACGCAGCAGAAACGTGCGTTTACCAGCTTAATGGAAAGCATCAATCTGTCAAAATTAGGTGTAAGAACAGATGGGTGGTGTAATACATATCGCCAAATATGCCCTCCCCCCAAGTCTTTTAATAATAATAATAATAATAATAATAATAATAATAATAATAATAATAATAATAATAATAATAATCATATCAAATCAATAATAATAATAATAATAATAATAATATAATAATCATAATAATAATGATAATTAAGCTTGTACCGATCAATCAGTTCTTGAAAAGTTCATTAGTCACACATTCATTCAAATACCACCAAACACAAGTGTAATCAACTGTAATAACGGCCCCAGACCCCGACCCCCTGCTTAGATTTGGTCTCCACTAAGTTGTTTCTACCTGGTTTCCAAACTTTGGGGAACTCTGGATCTCTTAGGTTTTGTTGATTTATATTCAACCTTTATTGAACTCAGAATTGGAGCTGCTGAGTTCAATAACTGATTAGGCCTAGTCCATCTAAAGAAAATCATAATTTTTAATGGGTAATTAATTGTTTAAGTCTTTAAATAGGAGGGGGAAATGCAAGGAACCTTCTCTGTGTCTCATAGTTTAAAAATAAATAAAATATAAATGCAAACTGGGTGTGGGAAAGATAATTTACACACTTATCTGTATTGAAAATAAGTTGCAGCACTAGGCATGATTCAAATAATCACTTCTGCAGCTTGTGGTTAGCAGAGAAATGGCTTATAACGTTGCTGGGTTGCTGGATAAAATGATCATAATGTTTGCAATCATCCCTTGTAAAGGAAAACCGTCCGCTCAGTGTCTTGTTTGCACAGATGAGGGACCCTGTGGTTCCCTATCTAACATTACAGGGTTTTTATCTTATACTATATAGCATCTTGAGATTGCTGCTGTTGTGATCTGGTGCTATATAAATAAAACTGAATTGAATGCCGTCAACACTTTGGGGGAAACTAACAAAATTCCACAGCACAGAACAATATACTGCTTCTAGCGAGTACCCCAAGGCATACAGGAATATTATCTTTATGAGACTAACGAGTATGGGTTCCTTTGAAGCACTGTTGATGACAGTCACAGATAAGCAACAACTTACACATAGGCAGCTGATAGTTATTGTTTGTCCCTTGTTAATTATTCATGCTGTGTGACTCTCTCACCAGTCAGAAAACAAGGCGAGTGCTTTTGTTCCAGGTTTGGGGGCGTGGGGGGTTGAGCTTGAAGTGTTTTCTATCCTTCTGTGCTCCTCGTGTCACCAAATCTACTACAGATGGAGAGCAAGATAAGCGCTCCGGAGACTGATCTTTTTTGCCCACTCCTCTAAGGTCATGACACTGACATTCCCACTGGCACATGTGATACCTCCAACCCCCAGTCTCCTGACTCTTTGCTCATTGGCTCTCGGGACACGTCTATTATTTTAAATGTATTTCTAATGTTAAAAACAACAACAGCAAAAAAAAGAAAAGAAAAGACATCCAGCGACTTAATGTGAAGTTTGGAGGAGGGCAAAGATTAGCTTATGGAAAGGCTGGATTCAATAGCTCTTCGGGGTTCAGGCGTAGGGCGAGTAAAGAGAGGTATATCTGGAATGATTTGGCTGCAGAGAGAACAGCTGTGAGGTATTTTCCTTTTGGCTCCTTGGGTATTTTCAGAGGGCTCAGAGTAAAGAAAAGCTGAAGTGAATCACTGACTAAACAGCCCCACTCCCATCTGAGCGCTCACATGGTTCACTGGCGATGGGAGATGTGCACTCTTTAAGCTCTGACACGGTTCAGTTGAGTGATTATTTGTTCTTTTCTTAGCTAATCAGTGATTGATCAACGAATGTACTGATCTGTTGTCCACATGATGCAGCGCGCCAGTCACAGTCAATACACAGCCACAAAATTGGATTACAGTCTCGGGTTTTGACCTTTATTTGATGGCCTAAGTCGGATTGTAATGGCTTAGAGTGACATTTTATCCCCCCCAATACAAAAGAAAATCCAGGAAGTTATTTGTTCTCGAAACTCCAAGTCATATTTAAGGTGCTTCAGATGGAAACTGGTGCAATTACTGGTGCAATTCTCGCACACAAGAATTTCACTCGCATGTGCTGTGCCAGTGTGCCTGCACATGTGATGTGACAATAAAAGTGATTTGATTTGATTTGAATTAACCATTTATTTGTTTATCATTGCTGAGAGTTTCCAGCTAAGTCATGTGCATGTTAAACTGTTTAGAATTTGGATTGAAAGCAGACTTCATTACTGTTTCTCCTCCATCCATGCAGCTGCCAGTGAGATTTACTTTTGTGTCCATGGTAATCACATAAGATACACATGACACTCGCAGGTAGAACTATCTCAGCCTATAGGCAGCTTCTCATATGCACATCCTTATTGCACACATACCCATTTAATTCAATTTACACTGCCGGCACTTCAATTTCACACACATAGCATCATAACACATGCTATTTCATTAAACAGGCCATGGCCATGCTTCACAAGCTCACACAAAGTGGGACTCATTGTTATGTACACACAGAGACATGCATAAGCACACACAGGGGATGGAGTCTGAAGGAATTTCCCCAGCAACGGCATAGGAGTAATTTAATTTACCGCATTTTGTGTTAATGCAATGCTGTCTTGTTTTCTCTTTAAATGTTTTGCAGCATGCAAATATCAAGTCCTTATGAGCAAAGGATGAAATATCACCATTGTGTAGCCACTGGAGGGAGAAAATAATGCTCCTACACTTCAGCAGCACATTTTAAAGCCGGAAAATCTGTGAATGTTTCTGCTTGAACAATCATTTCAGCCATTAATCAATACATAGAGAGTGACAATTTGTTTTCTATTGATCAGCTAATCAATAGGGTAATTGTTTGTGTTCTAGAGGTTGGCTAAATATGTAGCTAGAGTCAAGGGGCCAATAACTTGGAGGGGTAGGATCACATAGGTTTATACTTCTTCCTATTCCTTTTAGGAGTTACTTATATGCAGATGCATGGTTAATATATTCCGTATGTTTGAAATAAACAAATCTATCTATCCAACTTATCTTAAAGACTGAAAGCAGATGGAAACAGCTGGCTAAAAACTACTACCAACACCCATGGAGCTTTCACGCTAACACCGTAAGTTTACATTTAAAACACAGAGGAGCCTGGCCACACCTTCTGGAGCAGAACACATTTACCCCCATTATATGCATCTGTCAGCTGAAGTGCTATTGGCTAGAGCTCTGTGTCTACTTAGTTGTAAGAAAGCTAATGTCAGTTATGCGTTAGCAAGGCACTATTTAGCCCTGAATTAGCAAACATAATTAGCGTTACTTATAGCTTTTAGAGTATTTTACATTGCAGTGTAACACTGTTCAGTGAGCCTAAGGTGATATTTGGATTTTTACCTTATTAGTGACCAGTGTTGGTCAAGTTACTTGAAAAAAGTAATCAGTAACTAATTACTGATTACTTCCCCAAAAAAGTAATCCCGTTACTTTACTGATTACTTATTTTCAAAAGTAATTAATTACTTAGTTACTTAGTTACTTTTTAAAAACACGATTTACAACCTGAATAGGTGATGAAGAAATAGACCTTTCAGCCCACTTCTACTTTTTCTGCATAATCCATCATACAAAATGTAATCAAATGGAAAAGTCTCTTTTTAAAACTTGTTTTATTAGTTTTAATCTTTTAACTTTATGCATCAAGCAAAAATTAAATTATATGCAACATTTTCTGACTGGAAGAAATTTGTTTAATATTTAAACCTATTTTCTGCACATTCCAGCACATGAAATAATTTTTTTTGTGTTTACACTCAGTCTTTCAAATAGATGCAAGTAAAACACAGCAGAAAATAAATAAAGTCAAAGACTCAGCGGTCCTGTTGCTCTATTTTCACCTGTAAAGCAGGAGTGGGGTAGGCGGAGGTTTACCCTGGTGCAGGTGTGCCGCAGCGGTCAGTGGAAGAATCCGGGAGTTTCTCTGTGAGTTTCCCATTATAGTGGTAGCTCGGTGTTTGTTGGAAGTTTAGGGGTTTTTTTCGCTGTAAAAAGAAGTTTTCTTCCCACGCACAACGGACACTAATGTTTTTGTCACTTTTTATGGAATCAAACTCAAAGTAAGGTCAGTACTTCCACGCTTTAAACGCTGCACGCTCATACTCTCTCCCCTCGATATATGATCCATTGTTGATCTGCACACAGCTGTTGTCACTAACGTCGCACTCGCTTACATTCTCGCAAAAAAAATCACGGTTTTAGTAACGCAGTAACGCAGCGTTCCTACGGGAAAGTAACGGTAATCTAATTACCGTTTTTGCAATAGTAATCCCTTACTTTACTCGTTACTTGAAAAATGTAATCGGATTACAGTAACGCGTTACTGCCCATCTCTGTTAGTGACATAATGCTTGCTCCAAAGTTAGATATACTGATAACTGTCCGATTCTTTCAGTGTTACCTCATATCTTATATCTGTGTTACTTTGGTCCCTGAAACACACAGGATTGACTTTCTTGCAGTGCAAATTAAATGAAGCAGAATTAAATTGTATAAAAGATGGACACAGCATCTGGGTCTGAAAAGTAAAGGCAACCGTAAAGAATCTTTAAACCTGCATTGTTTTTTGGCTAGCAAGAGGTGACGCCTCTATGTGCAAAAACTGTTAGGACTGTATAAATGTCTACACCAAAGGTATGCCAAATTATGCAAGAACTGGACTTTCAGTGGCAACAGATCTTATGGGTAGAATGTGAAATTGTATGGAGGTGGTCAGCAGAGAGGTACAACAGTGAGTGTCTAGACCCATCTGTAAAACACGGTCGAGGCTCTGTCATGGTTCGGGACTGCATTTCTAACAGTGATGTTGGGGATCTTGTCAAAATTGATGGAATTATGATGAAAACTATAATG